CCCCAAAACCCCAAAACCCCGTGAGTAGAGATTAAAATAATTTAGATAAATTTAGAATATAGATTAATTTGAATTTAAAATGGCATGTTTTGGAGGACCAGCTTATCATGAGATTATAATTGAGAAGTAGCCTTTCTTACCAGTCACACTAAGTCTAGCCAAAACCAATTTTCAATTACTCGGCCATGATGGAATTTTGTTTGGAGGAATGGCTCCTCTGCCTGATGAAGGTAACCTATCATATCTTTAAGCAAGTTTAATTGCCATTATCATATTTTTATGTCAATATTTCTTACCTAATGTAGAGGAAAAAAAGTAGGCACCTGCAGAATATGAAAAAGAATAAGTCTAAAAGCAATTCAAATAATAAGCTGAAAAGTTAAAGTAAGACTTGGCAAGTAAGGAAATTAAACTAGATGAAGCTAAAAATGATATCAGAAATCTTAATACTCAGATTGAACTTCTGAACGAATTAGTAACCATAAACTTTTTTTATTTACTTTAATTAGTATAATCAGTACTGCTTAGATTTGCATTCACTTGAATAGGTGGTGGAAACACATAAGAAGTGAATCTATAATTCAAATAGTATAGCTAATAACGATGAGGCAAGTGTTTATCAGAATTGAAATATATTATTACGACTTAGTATTGATTTAATGACTTTTGATTTAATTTACAATTATAATTATAATATATGTCTAATTAAGCAGCTTAACCGCATAATTAACAGCAGCATCAAAAGGTTTTGACCTCTTAATTAAACCTAGGCTAGCCCACAGTAGCATCTCTAGATCTGCAATCGTAGTTAACTAATAACTCTTCGATTCATAGTATGATTGACCAAATGAGTTCACTCTTTGAGCTGTTTGCCTAGTACTTTGATCGCAGATTCTTCGAGTTGCAGGAATTTATGTACCATTTTAACAAAGCTGTTTTGACTACTAATAAAAACTTTACTACAATATAAACTAGCATACCCTAGTTAAAAAATAGCATAGGCATTGACATCCTGCAGCCATTTAAACAAAGAAAAGATGAGAAAAGACTTTCAGATGAGCTAAGAGAGCATATAAAATAAATCTATAACATTAGAGAGGATCTCATGAGATTTTCCTCAAACTCATTAAGCTTAAATACTGCCTAGACTTCATCGCAAAATGTAGTCAATTCAAATACTTCTTCGAATAATAGTTCAGGACTGAGCAGCAATAAATCATCAGCATAATCAAAGAAAAGCCAGTCGTTTGTTTAGACACAGTCAACACAAAACCAAAATATCGCTGTATCTACATAAAATAATAGTCAGTAGAAATCTAATCTTGCGCAAGCTTAGTAAAATAATAATAGTAGCAGCAATGGGAATAACTTTTCCAATCTAGGATCATAAAATACCACCACATTAGCATCAAACAGATCTTAGTAGTAATTAACAGAGCCTAAATTATATGTCTAGCATTTAAGTCCAACTTAGACCAATTCGTAGTTTAAAAGCAATTCAAAGGCTTTTCAGAGTATTGATAGCTAGGATCCAATGACGCATTTTCTGCCTCTACAGTAACTTCCAACTCCCATTCAGCAATCAGAGCATCCCAATATTAAAAATATACTCTATCATTAATAAAATCAAAACTAGTAAAAAGAAGAAAGTGAAGTGTAAGATGACTCAGATTAGGAACTCAAGAGATAGATTTTTACTGGAACACTAATTAGTGTTAATAACTAGAAAATGATATAGAGACCTGGAACTACAATGGCTACTACTTCAACTTATGGAGATGAAGATTCATAAGGCGAAACTGTTTTGATCGGGGATGATGATCCTTCTCTGCACCTTCAAACTGAAACCTACCAGAGGACAGGTAATTCACTAGGAGGCAAGAAAAGCAATACTAAATCTGCAAGATCTCCCCCTTAAAAAACAATTGGAACTAAGATTCAATAGCATAGCAAGCATAAAGCGAACAAAAAGAGTCCTATGGGAAGAGATCCAAAAAATCTCACACTAAATCACAGTTCAAGAATCACCAGTGATTAATTGATAAATAATGACTCTGAGTGGATAGGAGGAGATGGAAGCGGTGCTGGCAACAGTCAACTTAGCATGACTATTATAAAAAATGACTAGCCTTCCAAAAGCCCTTTTAACTATACTCAGAAAACAAGCAGTTCTTAAACGAGATATAATGAAATCTAAAACTAGAAAAATGTTAACTAAAACAAAACTCCTTAGAATCAAAGAACACATAGTAAAACATCAACATCCAACATCAAAAGTAAGACTAGTAGGTAGCAGCAATCCTCCTCAAATAACTAAATTCAAATTTAGACTATAAATATTACCTAAGCTAATGTCAGTAACACTATCAATACTCAAAATAGCAATACAAACACTTAAAATAACCCATAAATCACTCATAGCTCTTACATTACAAACAAGGGAGGACAAAATAAATCTAAATCTCCTGCTCCTAGTCTTTAGCAGCTGAAAGAGCAGAACTATCCTTAAAATTCCTCTTAACCTTAGCTGTAGAATGTATCATCAATGTCCAAGAACATGAATATTCAGAATTTTCAAAGCAGTAGAAATAATGCTATTCCTTAACAGCACAATTCCTTAACTGAGTAATCCTAGAAACTTCAAAATTTCCAATCAGTTCAGGCTAGTAACTTTAACTCTGTAAAGCAATAATCAGCTAAAGTACAAACTATACAGCCTCAAATCATTTAAATAACTTAGCCGCCTCCCTCTTTTATCACGAATGAACTTTAAAATCTTGAAATAGGCTAAACACTAATCGGTTCATCTGGTGGAAGTAGCTCTAAATAGCATCTAGACAGTATATAACCATAGAAAAAAATCTAATAATAAACTTATCAGTAACCTAATGCTAACTAAGCCTCAGGAACAGTAAGCAATTCAAGACATTCCTTGAAGCCAGATACAGTCTAGCAATCACCAATGCTTTCGCACAAATCTTCTATAATCTCTGAGGATGAAAAGATTCTAGACAAGCATATTAGAAATCTTGACACTTCAAGTAAAAACGTACCTGTTGCCAATATCCAATAAATACCTAAAACTTAAATATAACTTACAGGCATTGATGAAAGTCTAGTACAATCACGTATCTTTGAGTAGAATTTAGAAAAGCTGACTAAACAGATGGAGATAATTGGTGAAACAGGCGGCCAATTTGATGACTAGTTCAATGCTCATAGATTGACATTGCAAGGAGACATGGTATCTGCATCTGCTGATGAGCTACCAAGACTTTTAGAAAATTACTAGAACAGTTTAAGATAGAGTTTAAATAAGAATTAGAAAGGAACCGCTGTAGTGTCATAAGATAATCCAATGAGATTTAGCGATATGAAGGAGATCCAGTCTGTGAGATCATCTTAGCAAAATCCCCATTTGAATCCTCACCATCGTGATATCCCACAGATATCAATAATGGACGAAAATCTCTTTATGCAGAATGCACAATTTTTGGACATTGATCTCTCACAGTATAATTCTCCAAGTTTTGCAGCTGGGAATCATTTAGGAAGTAATCATCTACTAGCACTAGCCTAAAGAAACAGTCTAGGAATAAATCATTATAGCTCAGGCTAGCAGCGAAATGCAAGTTCATCAAGTGGAAGAGATTCTGATGCATTACAACTTCCTGCGTACGAGCAAAAGATAATACTGCATAACTCAGTCATTAAGAAGACTTAGCGAACTGCTTTTCTCAAACTACCTGGCTATGTTTTAGCTATAATAGGCGATTACTTGAATGAAAAACTACCACTGTTCATCTTTACCAATCGCATCAGTTTCAAAATCAGTCTATAATTCTAGATAGAGCACTATGAATCACAAAGACAGATTATACTTGGCTAAGTCTACTAGATTCATAGAGAATTGGAGCGCATGCAAAACACCTCTAAGTTTGACTTGAGTTAATAAAGCTAGGAAGAGTATGAGTTACTATCCTAAAAAGATTGGGATGAGCTTATACTAGTGTGCAAGAGACATGGAATCAAGCAGGAGAATGTGTTGAAGCAAAAGAACATCATCATTCTAAGACTATATCTTACTTTCATGGGACTAGATTTGGCTGAGGAGCAAGATGATTATTCGTTCTTAGAATAGTGTTCAGATTTCATGAAGGACTGTGGTTCTTAGATAGCAGAGGTAATGGACCCAGAGAAGTCGTTTTTAATCTCAGAGGAGAACAAAAAGCGCATCAAAGAGTTACTTGTCAACTTGCAAAAGGAAAAGTTAATCGAGGATGAAACAAAGAGTGACGGAGATATGAGTTTGAGTCAGGATAACTTGGAGTCAAGAGCGCAGCATATACTCGAAACTTTTACTAATTTACTATTCGAAGCACTCTAGTTTGTCAATATAATACCGAATGTACTGGTTCAAGACATGAAATAGGAAATGGATGAGCTTAGGAAAGTAGCAGAAGCCTTTAATGGCATTAAGAACAACCTAATTGACTTTAAAAATTTAGTTGCTTGAGGTGTGAGAAGTCCATCACTCCACTCTTGCTTGTATAAATAATCAAACATTCAATCGATGAATATATTTATTTATTAATTTACGTAATTCTACTTTATTATCATTATTTGGGGTTTTGGGGTTTTGGGGTTTTGGGG